AGCAGTCAGAATGCAGAATTGATTTCCTTTCTAACTATCTAATCATGGAAGGTGATAGATCTTCTTCTTGACCTAATCTTGTCACTTGAGAGGAAGCAGCCCCGCCCCTCTCTCTGTGTTGGACAGAGAATGGTTATGAGATTTTCCCTTTTTACTGTAGGAAAGATAAAAGAAAAGAGAATGAATGGTGAATGATGTCATTAAATGTGGAAATTGCAAGGCCATCATATTTCGTACATTGCTTGGCTGCAAAGTCTTAATTCCTGAGGTAGTTTATAATGAAATTTGGTCTTAATTTTCACATCACCAAGGAGGAGATTACCTTCTGAACCTTACTTTTCATTTCCCCATTAAAAAAAAAATAATTCTCTTCTTTTCCTGGCAAGACATGCCAATTCACTTATAAAAATAATTCCAGTAGTAGGAAGGTAATTCTTCTCTGGGCCCCATCTCTCTCAAACTCTGCAGTAATTCCTCTATAATTTAATGCCTTACCAAGACTTGTCTTTAAACTGCAAATAAACCACTGGCTCCTCCTGACCACAAGTGGTTGTATGTGGTATGTTCAATCTAGTTAACATGAATTATGAATTTTGAACTATGACTTTGCTGCTTTAAAGTTATAGTTTTAGTTATCAGTCTTCATTCTTAGGCATTTTTTGTGGGGGATAAACAAAGCCACAATCCAGCATCCAAAGAGCACAGTGAGCTAGGCTAAATAAACAGCGAGTAGTTGACAAGCTAGTGCATTATACTTAGGTTTTGTCCCAGAAATGAGAATTTGTCCCTTCACACACTAAGATTCATACATCTGTAAAATGATTCTGGGAATTCAGTCGGGCTGACATGCCTGGGATACATCAGATAGGGAGGTTTCTCCAAGTGTAACTTCCTTCATATTACTCTGACTACAACTCCCAAAATTTTCCAGCTAGCACAGTCTTAACCAGGGGCGTCAAACTCAACTTCATTGAGGGACGCATCAGGGTTGTGTTTGACATTGAGGGGCTGGTGTGGGCGTGGCCAGGGTGGGCATGGCCAGCTCGATATCACTCATGTCGGGGGCACCTGTGGTGGCCTGAGCGCTCTGCCAGAGAAAACCGGCTCCCCAGCTCCGTTTTCGGCTGCGACCGCCTCCTGTGCACACGACCCTCTCAAGCTCCATTTTCATTGGTTCATTGAACCAATCTTCAAAATATTTTTTATTTCAAATTTTTTTTTTGTAGTAACTGAAGCAGGGGTGTTATTCAGCAGGTTCTGACAGGTTCTGGAGAACCAGGTAGCGGAAATTTTGAGTAGTTTGGAGAACCGGCAAATACCACGTCTGGCAGGTCCCAGAGTGGGGTGAGAATGGAGAGTTTGCAATATCCTTTCCCCAGGAGTGGGGAAGGAATGGAGATTTTGCAGTATCCTTCCCCTGCCATGCCCACCAAGCCACGCCCACCAAGCCACACCACACCCATCAAGCCACAGAACCGGTAGTAAAAAAATTTGAATTCCACCACTGAAGTATAGGCCCATTTCCCCAATTCAACAACATAACACTTTTAAGATTTTTGCCTGCCCTCCTTATTACCATATCAAATAATATTATAATGAGAAATATGCAAATTAAGACAAAGAAACGTAAACACTTATGAATACATTCACACTTGGAGAACTTTCTGTGAATTTCTCTCTCCTGCTATTTCCAGTCTGTTCTTTCCCTGTTTCTTATCTTCAAGAAATGTTGTCCCAAAGTTTGATGTATTTTTGCACTGCAAAAGATCTAAACCTAGTAGCAAAGTTAAATAGCATGGAGTTACAAAAGAACAGTTTACTATAAAAAGTAACAATGTTCTTATTCATTTGTTGGTTATACTACTATCTGGGACTCACTTGTTAGATAGATAGATTGAGAATCTTTATTATTGTCACTGACCAGCAAATTGTGAAACCAATAACAGATTGTTTTGTTGATGCATTTGTGTGAAATTCTGGCACCTAGTGGTGCAGCAAGGAAATGCTTGGAATATAATATAATATAATTGGAAAATCTGTATCAAGTTTATTAGGGCAGTACTTTTATCTGGCCAAACAACAGTTACAGCATTTGAATTCTTAAGAAAAATTGGGGTGGTGGAGGAATTTGATGTTTAAGTCAAGAATATGCCTTTAGTTAGATCCAAATGAATGCCAAATACTATTTATTCCATGTGCCGCTTTTCCACTAAAAATTGAGATCAAGAATAAAATAAGTAAAGAACTAAAACTCATCAAATTAACAAGCTAGCTTACTAGAAAAAGCTGTAATTGCACCCCCTCCAGATAAAGCTTCCTTCAAATGTTTTCCGTAAGATTTTTTTTCCAATGGTCCCGGTGAGAATGTCCAACAATAGAGACGATGTATCAGATTTTCCTCGGTTACCCTCCAATGTCAACTTTTGATGTTGTACATCAAAGTAGATACAGCTTAATTAAAGAAAACAAGGAAAGAAAATTCAATCAAGAATATTATGCACCGGGTAGGCCACAAGATGGTGCTGATCTGCTACAAAGAGGATTTTTCCGATCCAATTTTTATTACAAAACACATTAAAAAGAAAAATACTGTAACGGTGGGAACACACTTGATGTTGGATTCAAGACTGCGATGAAACAAAAGGTTTCAGTAACATAATTACTAAATTAGAACAGAGATATAAGTAATGCTGGACTTAAGGATTTCACAGTCAAATTTAATATTTTACTTCTGCCTAAAAACTATTTATTTATCCATCCTTGGATCTTCTTCGGTCTCTTGGAATAATTCTAACCATTTATCAGAGCTGCTTCTTTTCCCAGCTCAAGCACAGCAACTCCCCTAAAGAATTGCTTTAAGTTTTAAAAGAAAAAAGCTTTTTCCTCTGTGAGAGGGTGGAATTGGAGGGAGCCCATAGGTCTGTGATGTTGAACTTATGGCATGCATGCCCAAGGTGGCATGCAGAACTATCTTTCTAGACAAGCGAGCTGTTGCCCAACTCACCTGCAGCTACACATGTGCGCGCGCCCCAGCTGGTGTTCAGGCCTCTGGTGCACATATGCACAATTCAGGGGGCCCAGCTGGTCTTCGGAGCCCTCCTGTGGATGTGCGCACTTGCACATGCATGCGAGAGTACTTGCGTGCAGCGCACACATACAAAGATGACATTTGTGCACATGCATTGCATGCACGAAAACTGTGTGCATACACAGATGGTGTGCTTGTGCACACAGCACACGGGGGGAGCCACATGAAGCCTGCGTGCATGCGCAGATGGTGTGGTTGTGTGTGCAGTGCACAGGGGGCATGCATGAAAGCCATGCACATGCGCAGATGGTGTGGTTGTGCACGCAGCATATGGGGGAGGAGCCACGCGTACGTGTTTGGCACTTGGTGGGTAAAAGGTTCACCACCACTGCCATAGGTATTCAAATTCTGATGTCTGACATTTAGACTGGCAGGGAGGCTGCTGTTGTGTGAATGTAGGCTATTTACTCATCAAAGTATAGGTAGTTCTCGATTTATGACTACAATTGAGCCCCGAATTTATGTTGCTAAGTGAAACATTTGTACAGGGAGTTTTGCCCCATTTTACGACCTTTATTGCCAAAGTTGTTAAGCGAATCACAGCAATTGTTAAATTAGTAACACCGTTGTTAAGTGGATCTGGCTTCCCCATTGACTTTGCTTGTCAAAAAGTCACAAAATGACCCTGGGACACAGCAACACTTGGTTGCCTCAGTTGCCAAGCATCTGAATTTTGATCATGTGATCATGGAGATGCTGCAACAGTCATATGTGTGAAACACGGTCATTAAACACATTGTTCAGTGACATTGTAACTTTGAATGGTCGCTAATGGAACTGTTGTAAGTCAAGGACTACCTGATTCCAGTATGGTACCCACTTTTTGTTTGTTTGTTTATTAGTTGTGGGTCATATGCAAACGAATTCAAGTACAGCAAATGGATGGGATGGACTCTTAGCAATGATATCCCCAGATATACTTCTTTTAAAACCAGAAGCCTGGGACCTTGTGTGGTGTAATAATTAAAGGATTATACTGGGACTGATGGGACCTCTGTACAAATCCACTGTGGATACGTTTTGGACCAATGATGTGCTTTCAGCCAACTTACCTTACAGCAGGGGTAAAATGCTTCTGGTTCAGACTAGATTGCCTGATCCGGTAGCAATGGAGATGGGTGGTTCGGAGAACCAGTAGCAAAAATCCCTGCCCCCCCCATGCCCAGCTGAGCCGCGCAATCATCAAAGGCTTTTTTTTTTATTTTTAAAAGCATTTTTTCTACAACCTCTTCAGCTGAAGAGGTTGTAGAAAAAATGTTTTTAAAAGGAAAAAAAGCCTCTGCCGATCAGGCAAGTCAGCTGGGATCGTCAGAGGCTTTTAAAAGCATTTTTTTAACAACCTCTTCAGCTGAAGAGTTTTAAAAGTTAAAAAAAAAAGTTGGCCACGCCCACTCAGTCATATTACACCCCCCTCCCACCAAGCCACGCCCACAGAACCGGTAGTAACAAATTTTATATTTCACCACTGCCTTACAGGATTGTTTTAGTGGGGATGTATGTATGCACTCCTAAAGTATAGTAAATGATCTGCCTCTTGGAGGAAAGGCAGGTTATAAATATAATAAATACATCATTGTTCACAAAAGAGAAACCACGTAGGGAATAGTGACCGAACAAGACAGAGAATGAGGAAAATGAGGAACAAATTCTGTCTAAGTCCTGATGTAGTCCACATTCGTTTTTAGAATCAGAAGGGAAAGCTGCAAACATAACTTTCGAGAGGTAAACCTGTTCCCACCTCTACCCCAATACTTCAATTTTATCAACTCGGGAGGTGCTGATCTGCTAGGAATCATCTGGAGATTTGCCTACATCCTCCCTGATTCTGGCTTAATTTTTAATCAGTTTCTCGATTTAAAAGTGAAGAGGGTTTTTTTTGTTTTCCTGACAATATTGTATCTCTTCCCTACAGCCTCAGGACCTGGAAGCATCCACATCCCACACTTTCAAAGTGAAGAGTTTCAAGAAAGTAAAACCATGTGGGATATGTCGACAGGCGATTACCCGGGAAGGTAGTACCTGCAGAGGTGAGTGATGGTGGCTATGGGAGGGCAAAGTTCACGCTTCCGTACCAAATACGACTACAGATTGTCCTCCACTTACGACTGTTCATTTAACAATGATTTGAAGTTACGACAATCTTGCAAGACGTGACTTACATTTACAACGGTTGCGGTGGCTTGTGGTCACATGATTCCAATTTGCAACCTTCCCAGCTGATTTCTGAAAAACAAAGTCAACAGGGAAGCTGCATTTGCTTAACAACCATAGTAGTTCACGTCACAATTACGGTAAAAGTGGTCGTAAAATTGGGTCCAGTCTCATGATGATTCACTTAATGACCGCATCTCTAATGACCAGGTTTCTGGTCCAGTGGTGGTCATATGTCAAGTACTATTTGTAGTTTGCTGGTAGAGAACAAATTACAGGTAACCCTCAACTAACAAAAGTTCATTTAGTGACTTTTCAAAGTTGCAACAGCACTGAAAAAAGTGGCTTATGAGCAGGGGTGAAATGCTCCTGGTTCGGACCAGATTGCCTGATCCGGTAGCGGTGGAGGCAGGTGGTTCGGAGAACCAGTAGCAAAAATCCCTGCCCCCTCCCCATTGCCCAGCTGAGCCACACAATCATCAGAGGCTTTTTTTAATTTTTAAAAGCATTTTTTGTACAACCTCTTTGGCCGAAAAAATGCTTTTAAAAGTACAAAAAAAAGCCTCTGATGATCGCGCGGCTCAGCTGGGATCATCAGAGGCTTTTAAAAGCATTTTTTCTACAACCTCTTCGGCCAAAGAGGTTATAGAAAAAATGTTTTTAAAGGGAAAAAAAGCTTCTGCCAATCAGGCAAGTCAGCTGGGATCGTCAGAGGCTTTAAAAGCATTTTTTTTACAACCTCTTCAGCCGAAGAGGTTGTAGAAAAAATGGTTTTAAAAGTAAAAAAAAAAAGTTGGCCAAGCTCACTCAGTCATATTACCCTCCCACCAAGCCAGCCCACAGAACCGGTAGTAACAAATTTTACATTTCACACTGCTTATGAGCATTTTTCACAGTTGTGACCTTTGTAGCATCCCCATGATCATGTGATCAAAATTTAGATGCTTGACAAGTGATTCATACTTATTACCGTTGCAGTGTCCTGGGCTTATGTGATCACCTTTTGCAACCTTCTGACAATTAAAGTCAACGGGGAAGCCAGATTTAACCGTGTTACTAACCTAACCTGTTAGGTTAACCGTGTTTAACTGTCCTGTCAGCTGCAAGTGATTTACTTAACAACGGTGGCAAGGAAATGGGGTAAAACTCACTTAACAAATATCTCATGTGACAACAGAAAGTTTGGGCTCTGTTGTGGTCGTAAGTTGAAGATTACCTGTATTGAATTGTATTGGCCAAAATCATGTGAGTTAATGTTAGTCTTTCCCCACCAGAAAAATACTCCTGCCATGGAGTATTTGGCAAGAACAAATCAGAGAATGCTGATTAGTGATTATAGCTAACATTTCTGAAAACATGGATGCAAGAGCTTACATTTGAATTTACATCCCTTTTGTGGGCTTCTTATGGATATTTGCTCAGATACTGTGTGAATAGAATGGTGGCTTGAATGGCCTTTTTTTAAAAATGTTTTTTATTTTTTTTAAACAAACAAACAAACATACAAGCAAACAATACATCCTTAATCGTTCAGTGTTTCAACTGAATACATATTTTGTGTCTTCTACTCCCTCCTCCATCATTTTCATACTATATTTCTATCATACCTTTATATTTTCATTTCAAATTTCTTATATTTATATTAATTCATCAATTATCCAGATTTTGATATATATCTCTTCTCTAACCATTGATATAATTGCCCCCCTACTTTAAAATACTCCGATTGTTCCTTTTCTTTAATTACCAATGTTAATCTATTCATTTCTGCACATTGAATGGTGTTTGATGTAATCCAGAGTAAGACTTTTCTCAGGTCCTTCTGTTCCCATTCGAATGTTCTAGAGATCCAGCAAGTATGTTAGACTGCTTGCTCCATGGTGATTTTCCAAAAATATAGCAGCATGCATGTAATGTGGAACCTCCCCACTTCTCCTCCATCTTTAGCCTTGCAATGAAAATAATGTTGTTTTTGCTTTCCTATGTATGGAAGTGTCAGCCCTACAAGGAAGGGCACATTAAGAAACCAATGCCATCTAGGTCAGGACTATTTTTATTGTAATAGCTATAACAGAATCTTGAAAGTTTGAAAGTGCTTCTTCCCCCGTCCTTCCCTTAATCTTCACGTGAACTAAAGAGTGGCTGATCTGAGTTGTTTTCTCAAGTCGTGTTTTTAGCCTGGACTCAAGCCCTGCTTATCAGACTGTGGCCTTGGATTTGACTCTTCCTCTTATCCTTCCAGGGCAGGGGTTTCAAACTCGCATGTCATGTTGTCATCATGTGACGAATTGCAACTCCCCCCTTTGCTAAAATGGAGGTGGGCGTGGCCAGCACATAACGCATCCGGCCTGCGGGCCACGAGTTTGACACCTCTGTCATCCACTATGTCCTCTTTGTTTAAGGAAGAAAAGAATGTGGTAAAATTCCCTGATTGCATCAATCAAACACAATTGACTGAATCAGCTGCTTCCCCAAAGTGAAGACTTATCCTCATGTGTCGGTAGTACACAATTTCTGATTCTGACTCATAAGAATGATCATCATTAATATCTTTCTCCCATCCATTCAGAACAAAAGAGACTGGGAAGCTATTACATTTTTTTTTAAATAGAAAGAACTTAGAATGGAATAGCTCTACTGTGGACAGAACAATGGAGATTCCTACTCAACTGTTTCTTCTAATTTTCTGTCTTCACTTGTATAACAATAGAGAAATGCTAAAAGAACACAGAGTCATAATTTCTGGAATACTTTGTTTTTAGAATAGAATAGAATAGAATAGAATAGAATAGAATAGAATAGAATAGAATAGAATTTTTATTGGCCAAGGGTGATTGGACACACAAGGAATTTGTCTTAGTGCATACTCTCTCGGTGTACATAAAAGAAAAGATACGTTTGTCAAGAATCATAAGATACAACACTTAATGATAGGTATAGGGAAACAGTCAATATAAATCTTAAGGATACCAGCAACAAGGTTACAGTCATACAGTCATATGTGGGAGGAGATGGGTGATAGGAAGGATGAGAAGATTAATAGTAATAATGACCTTTCCAAGGTCATCACAGGCATAATAGCTGTGATTGAGGAGAGTTACCCAGACTCCCTCTAATAACCCTTCTAACTAGGTTTACCAATTTGTACAACATTCCAGTTCTCCAATTTGGTTAAATGTTCACAGACCCTGTGGTTAAATGCGATAAGTTTACAGTGATGACTTTGAATAGTCATCTATAGCCACAGAAAGTCATTCTTAGGCAATAGGGAACCAGAGATAAACCAGTTCATTTCCTGTTCTCCTGTAATGATGCTGAAATATCGTCTCATGCCTTCCAAGGACAAGGTCAAAATACTTTTATGTAAGACTTTTGTGGAAGTTCAAAAGCATGTAGTTTCATGATTTTGTGCCCAAAAGCTGAGTTGATCTGTTGAAATAATAGCAAAACCATTAAAAAAATAGCACTGTAATTCTGCAGAAATTGGGGGAAATCTGTTGCCCGCTGGCAGACTGGAACTAGGGGAGGGGATCTATTCTTCTTATCTCAGTTTATTGTATCTCCATAACACTTCCACCATTCATGGCTTGCTTCCTCTTGTCTCATTCCTGCAGCTTTCCTTCACTTCACTAAAGTTCTCCTTGTATTGAGGACTGTGAATTGTAGGGCAGATTCAGAAAGCATTTTCATTCCAGACATTCTTGTAACTAAGCTAAACCAGCTAGCAGTACCTGAACACACTTGTAAGTGGATCATATGCTTCCTAATAGACAGGAAGCAGCAGGTGAAGCTAAGCAGAATCACATCAGATACCCGTACAGTTAGCACAGGGACCCCACAAGGCTGTGTACCCTCTCCACTCTCTATATACCGATCCATCTGTTAAGCTACTGAAGTTCGCAGAGGACACAACAGTGATCGGTCTCATTCGAGACAATGACGAATCCGCATGCAGATGGGAAGTTGAACAACTAGCTTCATGGTGCGACCAGAACAATCTGGAACTGAACACACTCAAAACCCTAGAAATGGTGGTGGACTTTAGGAGAAACCCTCCCATACTGCTACCTCTTACAGTACTACACAACACAGTATCAACAGTAGAGATCTTCAAATTTCTAGGTTCTACCATATCTCACGACCTAAAATGAACACCTAACATCAAAAACATCATAAAAAAGCACAACAAAGAATGTTCTTTCTGCGCCAACTCAGAAAGCTCAAACTGCCCAAGGAGCTGCTGATACAGTTCTACAGAGGAATTATTGAGTCTGTCATCTGCACCTCTGTAACTGTCTGGTTTGGTTCTGCAACCCAACAAGAGAGAGACAGACTTCAGGGGATAATTAGAACTGCAGAAAAAACAATTACTACCAACCTGCCTTCCATTGAAGACCTCTATACTGCACAAGTCAAAAAGAGGGCTGTGAAAATATTTACAGACCCCTCACATCCTGGACATAAACTGTTTCAACTCCTACCCTCAAAACGATGCTATAGAGCACTGCACACCAGAACAACTAGACACAAGAACAGTTTTTTCCCGAACGCCATTACTCTCTAAACAAATAATTCCCTCAACACTGTCAAACTATTTACTAAGTCTGCATTACTATTAATCTTCCCATCATTCTATCATCCATCTCCTCCCACTTATGACTGTAACCTTGTTGCTGATATCCTTATGATTTATATTGACTGTTTCCTAATATGATTTGATTGTTTATTTGTTCCCTATGACTATCGTTAAGTGTTGTACCTTATGATTCTTGACGAATGTATCTTTACTTTTATGTACACTGAGAGCATATGCACCAAGACAAATTCCTTGTGTGTCCAATCACACTTGGCCAATAAAGAATTCTATTCTATCATT